ATCTGCCATTAAATTCTCTTTCTCTTTGTGAATGCACACACCCTTTTATCCCCAGTTAAACCACACATGATCAGAATGTGTTTAGTACTGCAGTAAAAAACACCACCCACGCCTCTTTTCCTTTACACCTGTGCAAGGGAGCCATCATCCACTTCCTCTACACTGTATAGTTCTAGCAAATACAGACTTGCAGGCTAGGCTATGCATCCCATGATGAAAAAGCTCTTTTTGTTACTTTAATTCTTTCTGCAGTTTCAGTCTAAGGATTGCTTAAAAAGATGCTTGTCAACAATATGAAACTCTATTGAGAAAAGATAGCAGCTTTCAATCCTTCTGCCCTGCTTGAGAAGACAGTATTTTTTTGCTTTTTCCTAAGCAAAAGGGAAATAGCTGGGATACCCAGAAAAAGTAGAGGACACTGACAACATTTGGCAGTTTTGTTGTTGTTTGGTTGCAAAGTCACGTCCAACTCTTTGCAACCCCATGGACAACATTCACCGGGTTCTCGCCCAGGTTCGACATCCCCCAGAGTACACCTAACGCCACAGCCACCTTCCCGGTGACCTCATCCAGTCACCTCAACCTCTGCCATCCCCTTCTCCTTCAATTGTTTCCAGCATCAGGGTCTTCTCCAGTGAGTCCTTCCTTCTCATTAGGTGGCAAAAGTATTTTTGCTTCAGATTCAGTATCTGACCTTCTAAAGAGCAGTCAGAGTTGATTTCCTTTAGGACTGACCAGTTTGATCTCCTTGCAGTCCAAGGGACTCGCAGGAGTCTCCTCCAGCACCACAATTCAAAAGCATCAATTCTTCGGTGCTCAGCCTTCCTTAAGGTCCAACTCTCACAGCCATACATTGCAACTGGGAAACCATAGCCTTGACTATATGCACTTGATGAGGCAGTGATGTCTCCGATTTTTAGTATGCTGTCTAGATTTATCATAGCTTTCCTCCCAAGGAGCAAGCATCTTTTAATTTCTTGGCTGCAGTCACCATCTGCAGTGATCTTGGAGCTTTAGAAAATAAAATCTGTCACTACTTGGCAGTATACATATCTAATAAAATAATAACTAAAACCTTAGGGGCAGAAGTTAAAAAAGAGTGTCAGAAAGAGTTCCCTGGTATTTCACAATAGCAACATGGAGCACTTGGTTCAGTTCTGGAGATAGATGTCTATAACTGCTGCATTTTGTAAGTTTTAAAATAGAGAACTATTGGATTGCGTGTCCCTAAAGCATTCTAAGGTGCAACCTGAAACCTACACAACGCCTACACAGGGCCTAAGATTGTGGCTAAATACAGATCATATGAGTTCATACATGACCTTTTCCTTCTTATCCCATCTGCTTTGTTTACATCTAGCCTGATGAAAAGTCCTGGAAAATTCAAAAGATCGCATGCTATTTTGTGGCATTTGTATTGGTTCAGTTCTAGGTGTTCCTTAACTGTGTAGATCTGGGAATTTTACTCATGGCCCCACAGGGCTTCCTTTGTTTTTCATATGCACACACATTGTCACTTCGGGAAGTGCTTGCCTCTATTGCCACCAGCTGGCAATACTAAAGTTTGTACATCAAACTTTCTCCAGGGAAGGTGCTGGCAGTTTAGTAGCCTCTTTTCCAGTGAGACTCAATGTGTAGATAGATAGGACCTCTAAGGTCCATCGTAGGTGAGGCCAATAGCCACATCTCTGAAATTTCTTCTTCTAGACAACTGCCAAGGGCAGAGGAGTTGTCTCCTTTGTCTCTGCTTGTTTAACTGCTGCAATAACACTTAGTACCCTCAAGATAGGATTGCCAAATCAGAGATTTGAGGGGGTTTTTTGCATTTAAGTATCAACATGGAAGGTACAATGGGGTAGGAGGCAATTGCAGAAGCAGGGGATGCTCTGTGCAGGTATGTAGCTGCTAACTGGTTAGGAGTGCCCTGGGCTCCATATGCACCAGTCAGTTTAACAAATTGCTGTTTTTCAGGGCTGGAATAACTGACAAGAACAGAAGGGGCCCTTGACACCAGTTAAGCATTACCTTCCGCCCCATCGCACTGGACACAGAGCCGATTTAGGGCATCACCTTGTGTTTAGACAGAAAAGAGGCCCAAAACTCCCAGCATGCCCCAGTCAGCCATTCTTGGGGCATGCTGGAAATGGTAGCCTTTTTTGCATCTAGACGTGCATATAGGATTGAGCCTTAAATAGCAAGGTTCTCTCAGTTACTGAACTGACAACTCTGCTTCCAGATGCTGGAGGTGGCTATGCTTGTTTCAAAAACACTTCATAGAAGATTTTTTAAAAGGCATGGGTGATGTTCTGTTGGTTTGCCAGTGATATCACAAGCATTGAAAGCCAATTTGATAGATATAGGGCTGGACTTGGACTTGAGCGGTCTGGGTTCCAGTCCCCACTTGGCCACAGCTGCACCTTAATTTTGTAACCTGTCAATCTTTCCTTAGCATTGCTTTAGTTTTTCTAACACTGCCCTCAAACTTTTCCTTGGCCATTTAACTTCTATTTCTTATTACCTTTTAAAAAGTGTTTAGGTGCAGTGGTTTAAACTGCTATGCTGCTGGGCTGGTTGATCAAAAGGTTGCCGGTTCGAATCTGCACAACGGGGTGAGTTCCCTTTGCTCCGTCTGAGCTCCTGCCAACCTTGCAGTTTGAAAGCATGCAAATGCAAGTAGATAAAAAGGTACTTTGGTGGGAAGGTAACAGCGTTCCATGCACCTCGGCATTTAGTTATGCTGGCCACATGACCACAGGGACTGTCTGCAGACAAACGCGGGCTCCCTTGGCTAGGAAACGGAGAGGAGCACCAGCCTCTAGAGTCAGACATGACTGGATTTAACATCAAGGGGAAACCTTTACCTTTTTAACTTGAGCCAATGCTGTTTGGAAGAGGTTTCTTTACTTCCTTTCTTGAAATTGTTTGTGACTGTGCCTTTCATTCAAGCATTCCCTATCTCTGGCTGCTTGCAACAGAATTATACCAGTTTCCCTTGGGAGTTTTCCTGAAACCCAAGGTGCATGTTAGAAAATGCTAACCTTTGACTATGGAATTCATGATCTTATGGAAAGCTATTTTCCTCCAAAATTCCCAGTATTTTAATTTGATCGACCAATTCTTCCCTATTATTTAAGTTCAATTCCCAGTCATATTTCAAGCAGACAGTCCTCTCTCCTAAAACCATTGCTAGCTCTTCCGCACCCCAAAATACAGGATACTCTCAGCAGATAAAAAGTAGAACTGCCATGCAGGAATTGAGGGAGGGAGGGCTGCAATTTTGTCCTATATGTAAGCCATAGGAAGGCTTCTGCTTTCAACAGATTGGCTGGCTGCCCTGGAACATAACCTGCACAGTAACACTTTGCCTAAGAGTAGCACAAAGGGGAAAGTTGGGCATGAGGACCTGTCCATCATTTGGTTTCTTTAGAACAATTGTGGGGGCAGGATTATAGTGCTTGCTATATGGGTTTTATTTGCAGTGTTGAACATTATTCACAGTTACTTCATTTTTTAATGCATGGGATTCAAGAACTTGAAAATTATTCCATGATTCAAAGTAGCCTCTAATTCAGTTAATATAGTTGGGAGTGAATAAAAAAATAGTTGGGGTAGAAAGTATACCAGATTGTCCAGATAGATAACCAGGCAGGTTCTCTTCACTCTGTTTTTCAGGATTCACAGAAATAGTCCTCGACAAATTAAACTTTTGTGCTGGGTTTGGTTCTTTGTACACCATAATAAAGACACTTTCCATGATACATTGAGGTGTCTTCATACTACAGATCTCTAACAACTTTGTCTTCAGGCAGACTGATTTAACTCCAGGGAAAACACAAGACAGACAAACCACTGATTTACATCAATTTGCCCATTGTGCAAGTTCATATATATACTGAAGGATACATACTGATGATCTGCTATAAAATAAACTGGTTTTATACAACCAAGGAGCATATTGTTAAACCTTTGGACATTAGTCCATGTACATCAGACAGCTGTGAAACAATGGGTTTCTGTTTGCTGTACTACTATATTAATATGCATTTATATAGTGCTTCTGAGGGCTCAAGAGGCTTCCCATATAATAAATATTACTTTGCTACCTTGCACACATGCAATGTCATGGAGCAGGATAATACACTTGAAAAATGCGAGTACCAACAACTTTTCAAAAGAAAAGGTTCATAGTTCTTGGGCAGAAATGTGTTCCCCATGAGATCAAAAATGAAAGCACAATCCAAAGTTAAGCATGATTAACTCCCAAACTTCCAGTGGCTTCTATGGAAAATTAAGTCATGGGCCTGTGAAGATGTAAATTTGCTTCACTGTAGTCAGACTGTAAACTTCCATACTGACTGACAGTCAAAAATAATGGCCTCAAAACATGACCTATATAGTATGTTATCTACAATTCTTACCCTTACATGTCAGATTATTTCTTCTTTACAGAGAAAAACAAGCTCAACCAAATATTTAAAAGGTTTAGCCTTGATGTATGGTTTGTAAGGTAATTTTTTTAAAATCTACTTTTATCACTCCAGTTTTCCTGTCCAACAATTTCATAATCACTTTCTCAGTGCAAATACAAAACAGGTGAGTGGGACAAAACCAGCTAGTTTTCCATCAACCATGTTATACAGTTGGGGGCTATTTCATGCTATGCAAATTCCAAAAATGTAAATTCTACCCTTTAAATATATGACATGCCCATAAAATTATGGGCAATCTGAAGATGCAGGCCAAATGATAGAACAGCTAAGATAGACAATATACATGATATAGCACTGATTTATAAAAACTACACAACTGTATTAGAAGATATATTGCAAATAGAGGAATACTAGAAATTCTTGATATCCTGGAGTTTGTTAGCTGTCAAACCATATTAACTTGACTTATACACTTATGTAAAGTAGTAGGTTCCTTAACTGAGCAAAGAACAAATCATATTCTTAAAAGATCCAAGAAATACCAAAATCATCAACCACAAGTCAGAAGTGTCAATTTCTCAAGAATTTGTTTTTATTCACTGAATTCCTCCAAATCAGATTAAATCCTATGATTATGTGACAACTGTCTTGTCTGTAACATTATGTAAGTGCCTATACTGAATATCCCTTTGGAACTTTGCTTCACCCGAGTCTTGTTTTCCTTAACAGAAATTTTCAGCGAACAAACATTAGACAACACTTTGTTCCCTCTGCTTTGATTTCCAACTGGATAGATAATTAACATAATTTAAATAAAACTGCTGTGAATATCATCAGCACCTGCAGTGCTCTCTACATTCAAAGCAGAGACAATACCAGTGGATTTCCACGGCCACCACAGAAGTGCCATCTTCCTGTGCTACAGAGGGTAGAAGCTGAGAGGGGGAAAAGTAACTTGCCCATGGCGATAGGAAGGATGAGACAAAGCAGCAATTCATATCAATGAGGCCCCCCCAGCTTTATATACTAAACCGCACAGCCTCAGGAAAAGTAACATGAGAAGTTGCTTCAGGAGCTATTCACATCCATGTTCTGCATCTTTCCTTCCAGAGCACAGTCTCCACCAGCTGATTTCTTTTTGCCTCCCTCCTGCTGCTTCTTCTGCTTCTTGGAAAGTTCTTCATCAATAGGGGCAGGTTTTACAAATTTTATCATTTCTTTCAGACCTACAGAAAATATGAAGAGTGGATTATACACTAATGAGTTTAGCTTCCACAAGGACAATGGGTTGGATACAGATATAGCCATACTTAAAGATGACCTACTGAAATCAATGGAACTTAAGTTTGTCATGCCCACCTCAAGTTCCACTCATTTTAAGTAAGATTAAATTTGGCATAATTACTGCACTGCCTGGAAAGGGCATCCTAATTCTAGAAGACAGCAGATAGTCTCAGAAAACCAAGACATCTTGAAAGAATATGTAATGGATGACTGTAGAAGAAAGGATCATTACTAATCCCCATTCTTACCTGGTGGCATGAACTCCCTTAATTTCTCTGGTATAACAATTCCTTCCTCAGTCTGATAATTCTCCAGAATGGCACAGATGGTGCGTGTTGTTGCACACATGGTGGCATTGAGCATATGTACAAACTCCACCTATGAGAACAAACACATTTGAGGTATTCTCTAATAAGATAAATTACTGTTAGCAAACAGGCAATACACCATCTCCTATAAGGCGTCGTCATTCAGTTACCCAGTCACCAGGACTGGTGTAATCAGGTTAGAAAAAAATACAACAAACTTCATCTAGTTAACCAATCATTCTCCAACAGACCTTATCTACATCATTTGGAATCAATAATAGAGGTATGTTTTAGGTTCTCAAATTCTGAGCAGCTAACCCTTGTTTTAAAAACTAATTTCCTCAACTTTGTGGTTTTTTTAAAGGTTTGATATAAAGGCTTAACAATTTATTAATATTTCAAGTTTCCACTCTATTCATAATTCTGAAGGACTTTAAAAAATATTAGCTATTCTAGGACTCCCACTCACCCTAGTAAACTAGATGTCTTAACAGGTGAGGAGACCATTCTCAAGCTGAATCTGTTGCTCTGCTCAATCTCCGAGGTCAGCATTATGCAAATGCATTTCTACAGCAGGGCTGCAAAGTGGTAACCTTTGTAACCATCACCTCAAATGCATAATCAAAAAAGGTCCTACTACAGCAAAAATGCAGATGTTTCCTATGGTACTTAAGCAGCAAAAGAGAAGCCAAGAGAAAAGGATGACTGACTAGAGCAAGAGGATACCGGAAAGGATACTTTGGGAGCATTTTAGCGCTAAAACATAATGCTACCTACTTTGTCCATCATCTTTTTGGTTTGCCCATAGCGGATCCGCAGTCGACGTGCCTGGTAGTCAGTGCAGTTTGAGCAAGACACAAGTTCACGGAAAGCTCCGGAACCAGGGAACCATGCCTCTAGATCCAGCTTCTTACTGGCAGCATGATTCAAAGAACCTGTAATACCAGGAGGAAATATTCAGGCACTGCTTCAGTAGGGTAAGAAGAAAAACTAAAAGATGTGACCCACACCATTAGTCGTATTGGAGCTATGGGATGAAAGCAAGCATGGTATGGATACCTATGCTCATTTATGTCAATTAATCAATCTGAGAACTGAACATGAGTACATGGGCGCACACTTTAATATTAGAGGTCTGTATGTACCTGAAACAATATTCACAATGTGATAAGGGATGCCCAGAGACTGATAGAACTCCTCAGCAGTTGCAATCATTTCATCAAACATCTCCCAAGACTTGTTATCATGGGGCGATGCATACACAAACTGCTCAATCTAGAAAAGGTCAAGAAAATCGGAAGCAAATTTAAGAACACAGAAATGTAGTATTTTATTTTGCTAGATGCAAACAAATGACAACCTGAATGTAAGCATAACAAACCACTTTAACCCCTCATTCTAAGAGAGCATTCCCCAACCAGTGCCCTCCAGATGTTTTGTACACCCTCTCTCAGGCCCAGTTATCAGGAATGCTAGAAGCTGATGTCCAAAGCATCTAGAGGGCAGCAGGTTGGAGAAGTCTGCTTTAAATGACCCAACATGTTTGTTATCTGCAACACTGAATAGTGATCCTTCATGGAGATGGTATATAAGAATAACTGAGGTAAGAGAATATGCCAGTTATGCTGTTCTGCATCTTGGGATCACTTGCCTGAACATCAAACCCCTGATGCCAGCTCCTTTAGGATAATGCTGGATCCTTTGGGTTCATATTCTTTCCACAATGATACTGGTTTGGATAATCAGGTTGGGCAGAAGAATGAGTGCCACTCTTTCTCCCTTTTAACTAGTATCCAGAAAAATCTTCCCAGAAAACCTGGTCAATTAATAGCCTTTGCCATTGCACTACCTTTTCAAACTGGTGCACGCGGAAAATGCCTCTGGTATCGCGACCGTGTGAGCCAACTTCCTGGCGGAAGCAGGTAGAGAGCCCAGCATATCTGATGGGCAGTTCCTCTGGCTTCAGCCATTCGTCCCTGTGCAAAGCTGCAATTGGCTGCTCTGATGTAGCAATCAGGTATTTCTCATCAATGGTGTTATCATCGCTCTTCTCACTGCCTTTGCCAAGTACCTAAGAAGTGGAAGACATTAGTGCCTCTTTTCAAAGCAGAGAGTGGCTGTTTATGTATATGAATTGGTCCATTTCAAACAAACAGCAGCTTTCATAAAGAAAAAAAGCCACTAATATGGATGCACTACTACATGCAATCAATAAAAATATTCCTACAAATGTAAATCACCAACCTGATTATGTATGGACAGGTGTTAGGATGTGAAATGACTAGGCATTGGGTCATTTGGCCCATGACTCAATAGCTGCCACTGTTTTTAGATGCCTGAATCTAGTACCTTGTGTGTGAATTTCTACCTCTCTTCAATATACCAACTCTCCCAATGGCCGCATCAGCAGCCCATTCTGTTATCACTCCAAAATCTTTATTTCCCTCCAGAAGGAAGGAAACTGACATGCCACAGAGGGGAATCAAAGAGCATTAAACTCATTTTTGAGCTCTGGAAACAGTAATGTTCATAAACAATGCATTTATGGATCTTTCCATAAATAAGGCTCCTGCAGATTCTCAAGTTGCTTAGCTACCCTGATCAGCAATTCTATTTCCATACAGAAACTTCCCTAACCCTTTTCCATCTACCACAGGCCATCCCCAATCTCACTAAGGGGCCAAAATATCTCTGGTCACTTTAAAAGTGGATTGAGAGAAATAAAGCCCACCTGTCACAGAAATAATGTTTGGGGTCCCTTTAACCTACCAGCCTGTTCTTTTCATCATAGTTATAATTATATCCTGCTTTTTTTCCTTTTGCAAAGAAACCCGTGCTTGCTTATCCAATCCTCCTTCCTCTGCATTTTATACTCTGTGAGGTAAGTTAGGCTGAAAATCAGTGACTGGTCCAAATTTAGACAGTGAGTTCCCTGGCGAAGTTGGGACTAGAGCCTGGAACTGCCAGATCCTTGTCCAACACTCGGACCACCATATTACACATACTAGTTGACAGTAAAATGATTTACTTTATAGAAGATCAGAAATTAAGAACAAATACTGAATTATCACTAGATATCCAGTTGAACAGTCATATTTGAAATTTTTGATAGCTCCCACGACTCCATGAAAAATCTGATTATGCATGCAACTTGTCCAGAAACTGGGGTAGATGCAGATAAAGATCAACATTTTTTTTAAATCCTTTAAAAACAGATTTTGAGTTTTTAAAATTCAAATTGGTTTAATATATTCATTTTTTTAAAGAAACAAAAATACATCTTTCATATTACAGAATGAATAAAATTGCTGTTCTTTGCTTATGTGGTGGTAGCATTAGGCCAAGCAAGGCAAAGCAATTAGTTCAGACAGTGGAAAACAGAAGGGACAGTTGGAGGCAGAGCAGAAAGGCCCAGTGGGGTTGAGTGGGGAAAAACCACTGTTGTTTGTGTAAGCAATTTAGTTCTCACATTTTCTAACATATTACTTCTGCATTTCTGTCTGATTCAAGTAATGAGTATAATGAACTATTTCTTAATTATTAAAAACCAAGCTATCTAAAAAAAAATATAAAGCATACCTTCCAGCTATAAAAAGCTGCAAGGAGTTCAGTGATATGTTTGCATCATTTTAAAGATATAAATGAAGAAATATCAGTGAAAAACATGATTTAAACCTTGCTGATTTAAGTCAACCCACCCTGTGACACAGTGCATTACTGAAAGTGTAAATTTTTCTTGACAGCTTACCTTGTAGAGTTCTTCATCAAATTGACTTAGCTGGGCCACTTCCTGCATCACTTCTTTTCTCATGAAGAAGGGGGTATAAACAGGGACATATCCTTTGCTAAATAGTGTCTGCAGAGCATACTGAATGAGAGCTTGCTCTAAAAAGACCAGGGGACCCTACATAACCAAAAAAAGGAGGTACGGGGGCGGGGGGGGGGGGAAGAGAAAGGTATACAAGTCAGCATCTTGTTCTGCCAAGGCTCAAAGCCTTCTCAAAACCAAACCTTAAGGAGCTGCTGGCAGGAATGCGTTTCCTGGCACTCAACTACAGCTCAGGTCCTGAATTCACACAAGCTTACTTAACTTTACTCCCTCCAACTCCTTTGTCTTTCCATGCTCCACAGTTACAGGTTCTTAGTTCTCACCTTCAGAAAGTATCCTCTGCTTCCAGCTACAATGGCTCCCTTTTCACCTTCATAGCCGTCCACCATGACAACCAGGTCCACATGAGAGTATTTTTTCCTCACTGTGCAGTCTCCCCATATTCTCTCCACTTTGTTATCCACGTCCTACCAGCATGAAAGAGAGAACATTTTACAGATTTACTGAACATGCCAAAGGAAACCACATCCTTTCCAAAGAAACATCTCTCCCACATTTTTGTTTCATTTGTCACATGTACAACCTTGACTAATGGTGCTTAAATTGACTGAAACCTTTGCAAACCACATTCCCTTTCTACCAGCAGCACATGATGGTGTGCATCCTTATGTCTACTGAGAAGGACAGGTGGGAATTTAACTGAGGTGAAAATACAGAGAAAGCAAGAACAAGATCTGATGGTCTTTTGGTCCCTGGCAGCGCTGTGCATTGTGAGCTGTGAGACTTTGAGGGTGAGGCACAGGGTAGAACGCCACAGAGTTTTGAGTTATTTGAAAATTAACATATTTATTATGGAATAAATTTCTGTGGACCAAATTCCTCTTCATCAGACGCATTAAGCATTATTGGGCTTTCTTTGTGGGTGCGGGGGGAATCTCCTATGAAGTGGAATTTTCTTGAGGAAGGCTTCTTGCCAAATAAATGCATTAGCTACAAAGTTGCTAAAAAGCCCAGTGCTGTTTTTGCTGCAATAAAGCAAGGCTCCCTCTGGAAATGACTAAAACAAAATAAAGTTTATATCAAGCCAAAATAGCACACGTTTTCTAATCTCAAACTATGTTGTTCTTCTTTGGGAATGTTTCTACTTATGGCTTTCTCCTCTGTGAGGAACACTGCTTTATAATGCAAATTGTACTAACTTCTTAGTCTTTGCACTGGGGAATCAGTACATCAAAATGATACCAGCACACTGCTCCTACCTCATCATTGCTGATAGGCACGGAAGGGTGAAGGAGATTTCCAATTTCTCTGAGGTTTTCAAACCGTTCAGCTTCCAGCTTCAAGCGTTCTTCATCACTTTTCAGAATCGCTTCATCAATTAGAAGACGGACTTTCTTTATTTGGTTAACCTGAAGACCCTGAAACACAAAGGAATCACTGATAATGTTAAATACACATGGAAAAATAAGAAAAAAAGAGGAACATATGTCATGAATGTTTCTTCCACTGATCTCAGTTTCACTCTCCATGTGACAGTTATTGCTACTAAGAACCAATATCAGTTCTATGGAACTCAAGGGAGAAAGACAACACCTAGTAACCACCAACCAATACAAGCTCAAACATGATACTGAAGTTGGTTATTAGTTCCCAATTTCCTTTTTGAGTTATTTTGAACATTTATGCAATTAGTAAGATAAATAACAAGCTAATGTTTAAAGGTTTTACACCCCAAAATAAGCTTAGGACTACTTTGTATTCCCATGATTGGGAAACTTTTCCCTTGAAGAGAACTCTCTCTCTCCAATTAAAGCAGTCATTTTTCTGTAAAACATGTTAATGTACAATGATTTCAGGTGATAATGGCAAATAGCAAACAAGGCCTTCTGCACCAAATATCAAGCACTGGGCCATCAGAAATCATGCGCCTCCATGCTCAGGAGAGTCTGCAGGATAACCTGGACTTCAGTCAAGGTATTTACACACAGGCCATTGATGATCACGGCACAGCAATAACAAAGGCAATAGAAAGAGAAGAAAAAAGACAAGGAGCTCTGCATCTTAAAGAGTGTTTTAGGCCTCCCATATCATGCACCAGTATGCCCAGCAGTCTATCCTCTATAAGATGGTATTGAGTCCAGCCTGGCTTAAATTGTGATTTGGGGTATCCCCCAGCTTAATGCAAGGTGCACAGCACCAGTTCCTTACCCTCCCTTGAGATCCAAGGTGGAGGTCCTTCTTTGGGAGCCCTCCTTGAGAGAGAGTAGGAGGGTGATTACCTGGAGCAGGGCCTTCTCTGCAGTGGTGCCCCGATTGTGGAATACGCTCCCCAGAGAGGTGCGCCTGGAGCCAACGCTTTTTCTTTTTGGCGCCAGGCGAAAACCTTTTTATTCTCCCGTTATTTTAATGTTTAATTGGTTTTGTGATTTTATTGTGACTTGCTGGATGCTATGTCATTTTTATCTGTGCTTGTTGTAAACCATCCTGAGACATTAGTAATGAGACAGCCTATAAAAGCTTTTAATAAATAAATAAATTTGGACTACCACTATGCCTGGGTGTCATGTCTGACAGCATGCTGCAATCCATAAAGCTTTGGGCAAGAAAGGAATCAGTGCCACGAGGGACTCTCTTTCCTAAAGATTCAATGTACTATTGCAAACCTTGGGGTTTTCCTGATCTTGCTGATAGTTCACTTTGGTGCATGAGCTGAGCCATTTTTTCCTTGTAAGGAATGTTCACTATTAGTATATAATAAACTCACTTTGGAATGTGCCTGATAGTGCCAATTTACATTCAAAGCCCATACCTACCTGATGTTTCACATTTTAAAATGTGATTAACATTGTTAATGTAATGAGCAATGTGGAAATAGCTTATTTATTAAAATATTTTTCCCATACCTTCCTTATAGGACTCTCAGGGCATCTTACAATTCAAACAGAAAATAATGCCATCAAAAATAAGTTAACAATCAGCCCCACTCCAAAAAAACCCCATCAAAATCCAAAACAACAATCAAATCAACAATCTAGGGAAGACCAAGTTCACAAGAATTTTCATAAAGTGAACATCTAAATGAAAATGTCTTGGTCTGCCACAAAAAGCCACCCAATGAGCTATTAAATCAAGTCTCCCAAGACAAAGTTTCACATTATAGTAAAGAAAGGATGCAAATACAGCACACAAATACAGTTTCACATCAGTATCTTTTATAGTGCTTGTAGTACCAGCTATATTTTATTTTATATTGTTAATTTGTTGTATTATATTTTATTGTTAATTTGTTGTATGTATTATATTTTAATTTTATGTTGTGAGCCGCCCCGAGGCTTCGGCGAATGGGGCGGCATAGAAATGTTTAAATAAATAAATAAATAAATAAATAAATAACTAACTAACTAACTAACTAACTAACTAACTATAAAACAGAAACCCTTTGACCCTGTATTTTACAGAGACAGCAGGTGCTGGAAAGACAGAAGTTTGTGCCATGCAAAAAGTATAGTTTTTTTCTGTCTCTTAGTGCAGCTATTTGGACAAAACAAACTAAGCCTCTTGATGAAGCCCTGTATTAGCTTATCTAGTCTCAGAGTGGCTACTTGGAAAATAGCTGATCTGTGTAGGGGTAAGCAGTAAGTGTAACAACTGTCAGGTGATCTGTAACTTGCTGACAAATACACATGCAAGTTTGGAATATTTATGTTACATTTATATTCCACATTAATCCTCAGAGCTCAGGATAGGATAGATAATTTGATGGGAATTGTAGTCCAACTTATCTGGAAAAAGTTGTCCTATTTTCTGCAGCAGTTCACTGGCAAGTCTAATGCAATGCTGATATTCCAAAATAGTGCTTTGGTGAAGAGAGAGCAATCATTCTACCACCTGGAGGACGTGAAGCACTGTGCCATGGTACAGCTTATGCAGTACATGTGCTCCTTCAAGGTCAGAAAGAACTGGGCCTTTACAGATATCTAAGAACAGGGAGACCATGTCAGCATGTGATGTTTACACTTTGGAAAGTTGCGAAGTGATTTGCTTGGTCCTGGTTACATAATAAAATTGACTGCCACTGGGTGTGTTTTTTCTGGACATAGTTTGAGTGTACTTTATACTGCTAATTTTGAAAAGAATGTCACTGTACTCTGTATGTCTTGTTTGATATTTTTAATGTACTAGTTGTACTAAACTTACTGCTTCCAAATGCAACCAGCTGCCATTTCATTGAATTGGTATCCTATGTTCAGTGTGATAGTAAACTGGTAGCCCAGAGAAATCCAAAATAGGTTTCTGTGGGCTCCTGGAATTAAGTGTGTGTGTGCGCGAGTGTGCACGTGCACGCACGCGCAGGCGGGCAGCGGGGAGGGGGGATGGATTCTGGATTATAATCATTAGTCATAATGAAAGCACAGCAGCATAAGCACTGGCTACTGGCCCCACTGATCTAGAGTGTTAAAAGCCCTTTTTACTCCAACCTACTTTGTTTCGTTTTTGCAGTGTCCTGGTTTAGATATAAGCACTGCTGCTCCAAGAAACGATAGTCTGCTGAAGCAGGGATTTGTTCAGGTATTCCTTCATCTTTCCTCTTTCTTTTGTGCACCTGCCCAGCTTGAGGAACATACTGGACTGTAAAATATCCCATTATGTCTGAACAAGGAAACGATAGTTTCAGTTCTGCCTACAGTCCTGATTTGCAAACAAAGATCAAACCACAATTTGCAATCCCTATCTACAGGTAGTGTTTAAACCACAATTTCCCAGCTTGGGTGTCATGGGAACAATGCTTTAAACAAACCAGAAAGATCCTGCACAAGCTGGACACATGAGAGGAGGAAATAATGCTTGAATGTGTTCCTGGGTGAACATACTGCCCCTTCTTGGACCAGCACTGTTCTCTGAGTCAGGCCCCTGCAAAAAAAAAAAAAAAAAAAAAGGGGGGGGGATCTACCTGTTCTTAAAAAACAGGGTTTTATGTTTTTGTTAATCTTGAAGAAGCTGTACTATAGAAGCTCAGGATCCTCAGGCTGTACCAGAGTGCAGCACTCACTGAAGTCCATCAGGTGGTAGATTATTGGTGGGGAAGCTGTGCTGCCAGATGTTATTGCACTCCATCTCCAACCCTAGATAGCATGGTCAATGCGAAAAATGATGAAAGTTGAAGCTCAACATTTGGAGAACCACAGGTTCCTCACTCAAATGGTAGATGACCCACCTGTTTTTGTGGTCTACCAAATCAAACTGTTAATCAAGCACCTAGTAGAGAACACACTATATCAAATTGCTATGGGAAAAAAGAATCTAATCTCACACAGAAAATAGTCCAAAATGTCAATACTAAGTTCTCAATTATCAAATGTTGTACGTTATTCCACTTATTAAATGACTGAAGCTTCCCTAATAAGGGAAGTAGTGCCTACAAGCAAAATTCCTAATAGCTAAGCAGGGTTGGCTTGCTCTCCTAGCCCTAACAGAGTATAAAATACAGCACATCTTCAAAAAACTCAAGCATAACATTACACAGCTGTATCTCCCATAAGTGTGTGCTATCTCTCGCTCTTTCTTTCCCTCCCCCGCCAAACTCAGTGCTTTATGAAAACAGATTCTAACCATTTTATTTAGTGTTATTTCCCTGATTTTAATCCTTCCCTCAAGCTTCTACTTAGCCTACTTGCAGAGGAAAAATACAAGGGCCACCTATACATCTATTTGCCCTATTGTGGCAAATATATGCTTAAGGGGCATGGGTAGCTTAAATTAGAAGAGTGTGCAGGGGGAATGATGTCCCTTAGCATGGCTTCTCCAATTCAATTTCCATTCACATCACATTTCCTTTGACCTAAAATATTTAGTAGGAGACCTGGGCATCCCAGAAATTTGCCTAGTTCAGCCCCTTTTTCTCATGCAGGCTGAGAAAAAGGTATTTTTGCTTGCCACTTTTTCCACGGTGACTGAGCCACCAGTGTGTGGTGACCATAAAAAGCTGAACCTTATTCCCAGCCTCGGCGCTCCAAAGGAAGGTGGCAATAAACCCAGCAGCTGAGCGGCCATCCCTGTTTGTTGCTTTCACAATTCCAAGGCCTGGACTAGTCCGATTGCTCTCTCAACCACCAATTCTATGACCCTTTTCTTATGAAGCAGAAATAGGCTTCCTCAGCCACTTCACTTTGACTAAGCACTGACCAAAGAAGGGGACCCCAAATCTCTTCCCTTGCTAAGAAAGAGAAACCAGGGTGTTTCGCTGGCTGCCATTGAGCCAATGCATGCAAAGCACTCTGCCCCAAGAGAGAATGAGGCAGACAGCACCCACCCCCCTCTTTACCACAGATGTGCAAGCTTCCTTTGCCGCGAATCAGCGAGTGGAGGAGGGCAGGTAACCCTAATATCTGGCTTGGTGATCAAGACCAGCCAAAAATTATGGGACCCTGCTCTTATACAATATATTTCAGCCCAGGAAACAAGAGGAGTGAAACAATAGACCATTGGTGGAAAGTAACTTACTGCTAAGATGTCTGCTGTGAGTTCATCAAGATTTTGTACATTTTCTGGTATGTGCTCATCATTTCCCACCGGTTCTTTTTTCTGTAAATGGACATATCAAACAAACGCAATAGCCAACTGGCAAGAGAAAAGGTAATATGACAAAAATAATCTACAAACATCATGGCTTGCAGGACACACTTGTCCTCCAATCTGCACAAAAAATAATGCTATAATATGAAAATCTAATATCAAAATGCTTTAACAATAAAACAAGACTACTGTTACCCTCTCTGTTTTATAAAGTTAATTTACACAAACTAAACATATCGAACTGGAAGACTGTACCACACTAGTTAGTTTGTTGAAGAGAAAACTGTCTAGCTATTCAAAGATGTCACTTTTCCTAACCTCACAGAGAGGGCCATTGCTCAGTGAAAGGGTGTATGCTTTGCATACAGAACACCCCAGGTTCCATTCCTGGCATACCCAGGCAGGGCTGGAAAAACTGCTTGAAACCATGTTGAGCTAGTTCCAGTCAGTACTAGAAAGGCTAGATGGATGTTTAACTCAATACATGGAAGCTTCTATGTAAAGGTGCATGACAGTTCTGAATAATTTTGCAGCTTATTCTTAACACTGTAGAGAACGTCCTGCATCAAGCATTACGTCTATATTTTCAGCCTGTGAACAAATTACGGATGCTTGGCCATGGTCAATGTTGTAAACAAACATGATAGTACCCCCATATAGTTCAACAAAAGAATAGTAACTATTGAATAAACGTGAAAGAAGTGCCGTTCCAAAGGTTTACATTATGAATTTGAATATACAAAGTTCAGTTCTTTGTTGCCTTTCTAAAATAAAACTTATCCAAAGGTAATCCAATTACAGCAGATAAGATGAAACGGCTAATATGGTTCAGTTTTCAGTTGGGGGTGGCGGAAATAATAGTATCTGCAGGTTTTTAAGATGAGAGTGGGATGAATTTTGCTTGATCACATCTGTTTTTGAAATAGCACACTGTAGTTCTCAAATTAATAGCACAGTTCTCCCTCTCACCTTCTCGGATATACTAAAGCCTGCAAAACAAGCTGTTAAGTGGAGTTGATGGTGTACAAGGAAGTTGACACATGAATTAAGAAAATGACAGTCTCAGCTTGCCCACTGCCATATATCTTATGGACGCTACTTCTGCTTGTTCTGGCAGATGAGATGTACGAGTCAAGCGCAGAAGTACACTTGCTTGCTTGTGAAAGACTGACAAGAATACATCACAAGCACATTTGTGCTTTTTTGAGGTTAAAGGGTTTTTTTAAGCTGGCAAAGTAGCCACAGTTGCTGCAGTCCCACCTGGGAACAGATGGAGGGTCTGTGCTGGTGGTGGCAAGGATGAAAAGTGGCAAGACCTTTTGGCAGTTTTGCTGACCAACTTGCCAGTTGATCTCTTCAACCCATGATAAAATGGCTTTCTAGGGTTCAAAGAACATGACACTCATTGTGGATCAAACAACCCCTACAGAAAACCATGGGTTCTTAGGAAAGCTTGCTGAAAAAAATAAGCCACCTTGTGGGAAGTGGTCTCAGTCTGGATAACATGACAACTCACATGGCTAGTTACCTAGGACAGATTGTGTTGTCATGCAAACAAGAGTTCGGCATCTTTCTGAGCACACTTAGTCACAAAATAAAACAGCAAATTTCAAAGTAGCTTTGATCAGATGATCAGCCAGACTGTAACTTCAATAAATCGCACCTTCATTTTCTCGCCTATGGTTTTGCTGCACAAGTTCTTCAGTTTGTTCAGATTGTCTGCACGGAATCTGCCTAGAAGGAAACATTTGAGAACTAGCACGAAGCTCTACATTGGAAAAGTTTCTCAATACAATGTTAAGTCTATTGAACTATGTGATTGCTACTGGTATGGGTGTTAGCATAGTTTTTGAAAAAAGATGGCGATTAACTAGAAAAATTGAAAACTGCATTCAGTACTTGGTAACACAACCTGAAAACAATACTGTAACTGAAAGATCAACATTTCATTGCTGCACCCCATACACACCCTTAAGCAAGCCCCTTCCCCCTGTAATCTGTCCTTCCATTATTAAAGCTGTCACTTAAATGCACCATAATTTACTTGAAAAATAATGCTCACTGACCAATGAAATTTATTCCTATAAAAAAAAACCCCTTGGGATTGAGGTGTTCAATCTAAACATCATGAGGAATCTAGATATATTCCAGTAAAATCAAAGTTTTCTGTATATTTAACTATGAATCGAAAACCACAGGTGCAGTACCAGCATGGACATTCAGATAGTTCCCTATTTGAATTGCAGTGAGTTTCAACTTCATATTCTGAAACTAAGAGAAGGTGTTCTCATTTACTAGGAAGATTATGTGAGATATACTGTGAACCTTGATCCAATTCTGAATAAATGGGAGTTGTTTTAGGAACCGAAAGTGACAGATTCAGTTGTTTAACCCATTTCTGGCTAGAGGGTGTCACTATTTTAGGTAAGCAAAAACACTTTTGTCTCAGCAAAAGTATTCACCAGAATAATTCTCAGCTGTTCAAGTGTTTAAAAGAATTACTCAAAGCTACTGGGTTAAATAGCAACACCTTATGCTGCAAACTTCCTTATTTCCTCTTTGAAAAACAAGACAGTGCAGAAAGAGAAAATGAAACCACACTAGCTGATTTGAATTGCAGCTTCCATGAATTGTTCTGCATGATGATGGTTACAGCAAGATTGCATCAGACTATACAGCAATCGTGCCTGGGCAGCATCCTGCCAAAAAGGGAGCCTACCAGTGTAGAGTTAATGCGGCTCTGACGCACTGAAAACAATGGTGAGAAAGTGGGGGATGGCTTATTTCTCACCAGACTTTTCTATCACCCCCTAGCTTTTGGACGGTGAGGGAGATGCGTGCCCTTAGGATGGCAAACACATCCTACTCCTGGGAAAACAGGGAGTTGCTTACGAACTCAAAGAAATGGAAGCGCCCTAAGACCTTCTGAAGGACTCTTTAATTGACTCTTTAATTCCTTAAAGTCACCCCAAACCTGCTTTTCGACTTAGCTCAGCACCCTAAAAAGGGGGGGGATTCTCGGTTGGTGCAGAGTCTCAGTCATGACCTGCCCACCCTGTTAAAGCTAATGGGGGATGAATCTGTGTGGGTGCTCATTCAATCGGTGACCTAACAAGACCAGACCATGGCTCCACTAGCTCAGCACGCTGCTTCCCACAGTGGCCAACCTGGTGCCCACGAGAAGCCCAGAAGCGGGTCACGGTGGCAAAAGCCCACTCCTGGTCGTGCTCCCAGCCACTGGTCCTCGGAGCCACAACACAGCCGATTCCGAAGGCAATGCACAGCCAACCTAACTCGTAACTGAGAATCTTGTCCTCCACGGATGTTTCACCAGTTCAAACTGGTGCTTTCCACAATTGCCTTCTAACGGCGGGTTCAGCCCCATTTTTCCGTCTTTCCACGCTGGCGCTACAGAGGCGAGCGTCGATGTTAAAGAAGGCTGGGGGGAGGGCTGAAAATGGGGCGCGAGGGGCGGACAAGAGGGCAGAACCTACACGTGGGAAGAGATGCGCGAGCGGGAAGGGACGGGAAAAGCTAGCGGAGCCCCTCAGCCGCTCCCACCGCAAGCAAGCAGGCTGGCTGGCAGCTGGTGGGGGGGGGGTCCTCTCCACTTTTAAAACCGAACCACCACCCCACAACGCACATGCGCTTTACGACCCTCCGCCCCACAACGTACATCTCCGCCAGGCCCCGTCGGCAGCCACCAGCGCGTCCACGAGAGCCGGGTCCTTGAAGCGCTTGCGCTGCGTCTCGCGCACAAGGTCCGGGTCGCCGCCTTTGTCGACGCGAAAAAGGTCCAGGTCGAGCACCATGATCCCGCACGGCCGCCACCTACGCGCAGGAGAAGGAAGACAACCGCACACGGGTCTCAAGCCGCTCCCGTCGCGAATGGAACAAAATGAGACGAGCAAAACCGGCGGCCGCCCTACGCATGCGCACAACATACGCAGAGGGGCGGGGCACGGCAGACTGAGAGGCTGAGGAAAGGACTGCGCGTGCGCCTGAAAAAAATACAACGACACCCCCCCCCCCGTCCCCGCCCACACGCACCCTCCAGAGCTAAAGCAGGGAGAGGTCTACGCATGGTGGGTGCTGAAGTCTGAGCGCCTCCTAACGGGCTCTTCAGCCATTGCACTTGGCGCTTCTTCAGGTCGCTGCGGGTGCTTCTGCAAACTGCAATGACGAAGTTCTGGGTTAGGAAGCTGACGATCCACCCTGCAATATAGGCAATCCTAGGGCAGAGAGCGGACGAAAGTGAAGAAAGAGCCCTGCTATGGTCATCTTTATGTTAATTCTTCTCCCCTCTCACCAAGATTCGACTGCTGTGATCGAGCAAAATGTTAATATTTCTGAAGGCATAGAAACAGAGCAAGTCAGAATGGACCTCCTGGGCCATCTAGTCTGACCCCCGGCTCCAGCCAGCTCCGCTCACAACGTGCCCACCATGTGCACGTCTAGCCTATCCTTGAACACCCGCACCGATGGGGCCTCAACCACCTCCCGTGGAAGCCCATTCCATACCCCTGGGGTCCTAACAGGAAGTACTTTCTGGCATCCAAACTGAACCTTGGTTCCCTGCGCTTTGCTCCGTTGGAGTGCATACCACCCTCCTCTGCAGGAGAGAACAGGTCTCTACCCACCTCCATGTGACACACCCTCCCCCCCCCGCATATGTATATGTCGCCAACAGATCCCCTCGGAGTCCTCCAGGCTGGATGACCCAGTTCCCTCAGTCTCGCCTCATATAGCTTTCCCTGAAATCCAGCCACCATCCGTGTGGCCCTACACTGCACTGACTAACCTGGCTATATCCTTCCTGTAACAAGGGGCCCAGAACTGAACACAATACTCTAGTTGTGGGCACACCAGAGTCATATAGAGTGGTAGTAATACCTTTCTCGATCTAGAGGCCATGCTTCTGGCTATGCAACCAAGGGTGGCATTCACCCTCTTGACCACCGCATCACACTGCTGACTTGTGTTTAGCCTGCAGTCAACTAGTACCCCAAGTTCCCTTTCACAAGTGCTGCTTTTCAGCCACTTGTCCCCTAACCTGTACTTATGACACCCATTCCTATGCCCCAAGTGCAAGACCTTACACTTATCCACATTGAACGTCATCCTGTTGTCCCCTGCCCACTTCCATAGTCTGTCCAGATCCCTTTGAATCTGGAGTTCCTGCTTCTCAGTTGTGGCCACTCCCCCTGTTTTAGCGTCATCTGCGAATTTGATCAGCAGACTGTTCACCCCTTCTTCCATGTCATTGATGAAAAGATGGAATAGGATCAGCCTCAGGACACCCGCTTGTCACTGGCCGCCATCCTGATGATTCCCCACTAATGGTTACCCTCTGCTTTTGGTCATCAATCATGCCCTAATCCATTGGACAGTGCTTTGATGTATCCCAAAACTCCTCCGTTTCTCAACCAGGATATCTTGGGGCACTTTGTTATCACAATCCTATGGAATCATGAAATAGTAAAGTTGGGAGGATTCAGTCCCTGCTCAGTGTAGGACTCCATGCTGGAACCGTAGGGCCTTTTCCCCATGTAAACATGCATAAGACTGCCTCTTCTATAGATGGTCCCATGAATGGGCATTTCACCCCCAGGGCTGAATGCTCGGTTAGTGCTCACTGATGGATTACTGGGAACCTGTTGCCCATGAAAGAGGCACCTGGGCTTCGGTCAATAGGTAAAATATTACAAAGGCACCAGGTGTCTCCAATGCTCTCTCATTCGAAGGAAACGAAGGCTGCAGTCCTAAGCATAATGCTACCTGGTAAGCCCACTGAACTGAGGGAGGCTGAAGCGAAGCTGGTGCACAGGGCAGTTTTCCACAGCAACCTTACTGCTGTCACCTTTTTTCCTTTTACGAGGAACCCAAGGCCTCACATGGACATCAGCCTCTTCATTTTATCCTGACAACAACCACCCTGGGGGGCAGGTTAAGTGGAGAATCAGTGAATGGAGCAAAGCGATCCAGTCAGCTTCATGATCAAGTAGGGACTAGAACCCAGATCTCCTGAGTCCCAGTTGTGCTTATGCGTTGAGCAGTGTTGGGAAAATTTGGGTAAATCCTGTCTGAAAAGCATTACTCCTGTGTGCCTTTGCATTTGTGGGATCAAATCCTGTCTTCCTTCTCAAAACCAAGCTGTCACTGTTTAAAATGGCATTCCCCCGCCCCTGGGGCAAGAGCAGACAGAAAGAATTGGAGGTCCTCATTCAGTCAAATTCATTCACATTGTAGCTAGCTAATCTCTTTTGGAATTTACCGCTTGACAAGAAGTAGCTATTTGTTATACTTTACTCAGGGTCTCAGACTTCCTGAATACAATACAAGAACTTACGATAGCCCAAATTTACATATCTAAGTAGACCTGGAGATGGATCCACGCCTCTGGAAATTACTCCACTGATACTTCAAAAATCGCCTTGTGAGATAGTGTAATCTTATTGTCTGTATGGTTGACTGACATTCCTGTATCTTTTCTCCATATGCTGATCACTGAACTTTATTGTAATACAGGTATTCTGTCCTTAATGGCTCTGTACGGGTGTACGTGACTGAGAGAGTATAAAAACTGCTGGTAGATGAATTAAAGCTTTGCAGCGAGTTCATCTCTGCTTGCCGGTAATGCATTATCGTGAGTCAACCGCGGGAACCTGTGATAGACAATAAAGACACAGAGGTTCATAACGACTGATCTTTCCTACGACCCCCGAGTTTTATTTCCTCTGCTCAAATTGAGATTCCGGGATTCTGACAGCAAGAAGACCTGAGTTATCTGTGTTTGACGTTTTAAAGGTGAAATTCTGGTCTACGCAGCACCCACAACTGGGGAACAGCAACTTAAGTATGGGGCTTTTAAAAAGTCTGACAGTTCTACAAATCCTTCTCTAGAGAGTTTTCAGCAAACAGTTGATCTTCTTTAGAGGACATGAACATTTTACTGGATAGGAGTAAACATAAAGTGATTTTCTTCCTCATTCCTAAAGCCATTTCCTATATACTTGCTACCATTTGTATAAACAGTAAAACTTTGACCTACTGGTAATGTTGTTACTAACACTGAACACAATGTATAATAAACCAGCAGGGTTGATCCTGGTTACTCTATTTCCTCCTGAGCTTTGTGCTGGAGAGCAGCCTCTCCCTCTGTAAGGATGCGGACCCGATTGTGTGGGTCCACCCACGGAGCTGGATGGATCCGGATGAATTCCTGAAGGCCCTGGGGGAGTTTCCGGCTGACAAGATTGGTGCTCCTGTCGAGGCTCTGGTCGAACTGTGGAACGGGGAGATGACTAGGGCTGTTGACATGATCGCTCCTAAGCATCCTCTCCCGCCAGGCAGAACCCACTCTTCCCCTTGGTATACACCTGAATTGCAGGCGAAGCAGGCTGGGAGATGGCTAGAGCGTAGGTGGAGGAGATCATGGGATGAATCTGACCGAACACACTTAGGAGCCCATTATCGGGCCTATGCTGTGGCAGTGAGGGCAGCGAAAAAGAAATTCTTCTCTGTTTCCATTGCCTCCTCAAAATGCCGTTTGGCAGAGCTTTTTTGAGTGGTACAAGGCCTGGTTCACCCTGGCCCTAAGAAAGATCTGGTTCCACCCTCGAAGGCCCGCTGTGATGACTTTGCCAAGCATTTCAGGGAGAAAATCGGTCAGATTCGTCACGAGCTAGACTCTACTAGTGACTCAGAGGCTTCTGGGGAGATACCAATGTCGCCGTCGGGTCCAAAATTAATGGATGAATTTCAGTTATTGCAGCCTGATGATGTGGACAAGGTGCTTGGACGAGTACGTCCCACCACTTGCCTATTGGACCCTTGCCCATCTTGGTTAATAAACAACGCCAAGCACGGGATTGGGATCTGGATCTTGGAAGTGGTTAACGCTTCTCTGAGGGAGGGTCAGGTACCTGCCCCTTTAAAGGAGGCAGTAGTCTGACCGGTCCTGAAGAAAGCATCACTAGATCCAGAGATGGCCACTAATTATAGACCAGTGGTCAACATCCCGTTTCTGGGCAAGGTGTTGGAGTGGGTGGTGGTGGGACAACTCCAAGCACTCTTGGATGAAACTGATTACCTGGACCCATTTCAATACGGCTTCAGACCCAGGTACGGTACTGAATCTGCCTTGGTCGCCCTGTACGATGACCTGTGCAGGGAGGACAGGGGGAGTGCGTCCCTGTTGGTTCTTCTGGACCTCTCAGTGGCTTTCGATACCATTGACCGTGGTATCCTTCTGGATACGCTAGCGGGATTGGGGGTCGGAGGCACTGCTTTTCAGTGGTTCCACTCCTATCTCAATGGCTGATTCCAGAAGGTGGTGCTGGGGGACTATGGCTCTGTACCATGGCATCTATACCATGGAGTACCACAGGGATCCATTTTGTCCCCTTTGCTGTTTAATGTCTACATGAAACCGCTGGGAGAGGTCATCAGGAGGTGTGGGCTGCAGAATCATCAGTACGCTGATGATACCCAGCTCTACCTCTTGTTCTCCACCAACCCAGGTGAGGCAGTGGCTGTGCTGAACTGGTGCCTGGCCGAGGTAATGGGCTGGATGAGGGCCAATAAACTGAAGCTCAATCCAGACAAGACAGAGGTCCTGTTGGTTGGCGGATCGGGCTTCGGGGAGGGTGAATTGAACCTAGTCCTGAATGGGGTTGCACTCCCTCTTAGGGACAAGGTCCGCAGCTTGGGAGTGCTCCTCGACCCAGAGCTTTCACTGGAAGCTCAGGTGACAGCGGTGGCAAGGAGCGCTTTCTTTCAGCTTCGGCTGATCCATTAGCTGCGCCCCTACCTGGAGTACGACTGCCTGGCGACAGTTACACACGCGTTGGTGACTTCCCGACTTGACTTCTGTAACGCGCTCTACGTGGGGCTACCCTTGAAGACGGTCTGGAT